GGGTGATGTCATAATAGTGATGATTAGGTGGCAGTTTTTGGGGTGGGAGTGGAAGGGCGAGAATGTCAGATATCACCTTCCTTTTGGTTAAGTTGTTATGAAAGATACAATGGCACTTAAAGAGGTAAAGAAAGCTCACAAAGAATGACCATTCAGCAGGAAACAGACACATTTTCAGGACTGATTATTGAATGTGTTCCAAAATCATTATTGCTGTGCAGGAGCTTCTGATGCTATTTTAAAAGTAAAGGATGTGTTTTTGAGACGGAGTAGAATAGGGAAAACACTAGGAAAAGGCAGAATTAATAGAAATCCGAGCTCAGGAAATGGGGCTTTCTTACAACATTGTGCTTCCAGGATCTATATAAGGATTGCTCATTATGGAGATAATCAGGAACAGCTCTTCTTCTAGAACAAGTGGTAGTTCAGTTAAACAGATTACATTAGAATAAGACACTACTCTTTCAATAAGGAAGACTGCTTTTGAATAATTCTGTATGTAGAAAGCCCTGTATTCGTTTATTCTTCAAAATGATTCTTCTATCCCTTGAAAACACAATGCAATCTAAGTGAGTGGAAGATGATCCTACTGGGATCACAGACAATTTGAAATAATACCTTTGACAGGTTGCCTCAGAGTTCACAGGGTCTAAATTCTATGTATCTGTATATTTATTTTTAAATGGCCCGGTGTAGATGTAGGTCTTGTATGTGACTGTATCAGGGGACCACCTAAGGTTCCTATTCCAAAGGAAAGAAAAAGAAAGAATAAATATTTATCCGGATGTTGAACCAGACAGCCACACTCCTGTTGATGGCAGTGGAGATGCTGCTGGGAGGACGTAGGGGATTTCTCAGCCCACATGGAGGCAGCCTCCAGGAGCTGATGATGCTGATTGGCAGGAGGACCAGAAAGCTGCTTAGAAAACTTGCTGGGATGAAGTTTCTCCAGGGAGGGGGAGACAGGGAGAGAGCAGCACTAGACTTCTGAAAGATCCATGCAGAGGCAGAGAGTAGAGCTGAAGGCTTGGAAGGCTCACACTGGGATACAGCACCCTGAAGCCAGGAGGAAGATCATCTGGGTGAGTCTCAGTGATGGCCAGTTAATGGTGGCTGTGCTATGAGTGGCAACTGGATTTAAAATAAGGGAAAGGGGGTATGATCTGGGATCCAAGGAGACAGGAAATAATCTGAGTCAGATCTGGTCCCTTTAAGGGTCTGAGAAAAGGATTGTTGGTAGACAGAGAGAGGACTTCCTTAATGAGCAGGTCTAGAGAGAGAAAAAGTTCTGTCTTATGCCCTATAACCCTCTGGGAAGTGAGGGGGCTGTAATTAACTAAGGTCAATTGAGTTTCCTTCCAAGGCAGAAATGATGGACTTAAACTGATAGGATGAATCACCTTTCAATGAAGAAATACCAATGAACAGTCTTTACAGAATGCGAGACTGAGCAAGTTGCTCCACTCACTCCAGGGAATAAGATATGCTGACAAAGTGAATCAATACCAAACCCAACTAGGTGTGGTGAGGTCAGGGTGTAGGGGAGGCAGAGCCCTGTGGTCAAAACCAGGACACACATGTTCCTCTATGACATCATTTGATTGTTAACCTCCCCGTTCTTATTATTTCTTTAACAATAAAGCAAGGGTGAGTGAGTGAAGAGGACCAGGACAAGACTGGATGAGAAGGGTGCCTGATAGGGAAACCCGCTCACAGCAACTCTTAAGGTTGATTATGCATCTTGACACACTGTACAGTATTGCTGCAATCTGGGAGTTCTGAGGCCAACATATGTATTTCCGCTGGAACATAATATTTCAACATGGTTTTGCATATCAATATATTTATAATGAGAAAAAATGAACCCCCCAAATCTCCTCCCCTTCTTACCCATTCTTTAAAATTTAATATGTGACAAAATTTAATATTCCATATCCTACTCAGATAGGCATAAAGGCATTTGATATATTTCTGCTAGAAAAGCCATGCTGTTTTTCTAAACTAATATTGTATTACATCCTGAAAGTTTAATTTCCTCCAAAAAAAAGTGTAAGAAATATGCCTTCTACATATTTGAGCTAGTCTCTTTTTCCATACTTAACACACATTATTTGATGTGAGATCTATAAATTGTCACAGTGAATTGGACAGGGTCTTCCATAAGCATCCTTTTCCACAACCATTAATAATGTTTATGCATCAATCATATTCAAGAGGTATGTAAACACAGAGCAGGAAACTACCAGGGTCTTGATAGGCACATGTTCTACTTACAAACTGCAGTTAATCATGCAATGTAGTCTTCATGACTCATTGGCACACGTTTAAGTTCTTGCCACTTATCAGCTGTTAGTGATTAGTCAACAATTTCATCTTTAAGACTGTAGGGCTAGTTCCAAAAATGACTGAAGGCACATAAAATGCAAAAAAAATTTAAAAAATTCAATTTAAGTGCCTAAGTTGGAATAATGATCCACAAAACTACCTACCTCATTGCTAGGGAGTATAAGAGTCCCTAAAGCTTACTTTTTTCTCCAAAAAACTTATGAGGCACCTAAAATTCTGCTACTATGCATGCTCAGAACTGTCACCTTGTTGAAGGAGTGGAGCATCTGAGTGCCTCTCCCTCAACCCTTAAGGTCATTTGGTATCCACAACTGTGCATCCTAAAGCTATGCATCCTAAAGCGTATCTTCTGAGGGAACATCTTCAGAGCGTGCCTAATATCCTGTAGTCACTGACTTGAGCACAAGGGACAGCAGCCTATTATAAAAATTACGCTACAAAGAGCTACCTGCCTTTTTACATTGTCTAATGGTTAAAGTACTTGTCTACAAAGTAGGAGCCCTGGTACTGGGATTTTTCAGCCTAAAGGGATTCAAACCGATATGTTCTCCCTCTTAAGAGAGTGAATTAGTCACCAAATTAGAGACAAAAATGAAATAAAAATCATCTTTCGTATTGAAGCTGACCTACTAAGTAGAAAGTAAAATTAGTCATGGGACCAAAGAGAGAGCAAGTAACAAACACCCAGGCTTTTAGTCCAGTAAGGTGGGCATGCTTCTGAGAGTGGTGGTAGTGGTGTGGGGGATGGACTGGATTCCAGTACCTATGTATTTTGTATTAAAGAGTCCTAGTTTGGTTGTTTGGTGATTTATAGTTTGGTGGCTAAGGAACTCTTTTGAGAAGCAGGAAATGACTGTTTGAACACCTTAAAATGAGGAGAAAATTAACTTAAATCTCCTAATTCCTCTGTGTGTTGGAAGAACAGTAGATTTATATTACATAAGAAGTTGGTAGCTGCCTCACCTCAATCACCAATGAAGAAAAAAAATGACCCTGTACCCAAGGTCAGCTTGGGCATATGAATCCAGAAAAAAACTTTGGCCTCTGAATACCAGTCTCATGTCGATATCCAAGTCTGAAAAATCTCCTTTCTTTCTGTCATCTGTTATTGCCTGGTATGCACCTCCAGAAAAAAAAAATTATGCTGCAACTTCTGCACCGCAGGGCTTACTACCTAATTTCCCCCATGGAAGGAATTTACATGCCTAACTTGGGCTTGTTTATCCCATTTCTGGAGCCAGGTACCTAAAATTATTTGTGGCAATAATACCTAAGGGTATTACACATGCTCTGCGGGAAGGGGGTGAGGGTAGAGATTCTGAGAGCCACTCTAATTAAAGCACCACCACATCTGATGTATCAGCATCCCAACGCTTAAGAATGGTGAAGGGGGTGCTGATACATGAGATGCGGAAGGCTGCTGAAGCATAGATTAATTGAGTCTGCTACAATGCGCTGGAATTCCAGCATGGCAGAGCAGCTTCCATGCTCATGTATAGGCACCCTAAGATCTTTTGTAGGAAGTCTTTGCAAACATTTTGCGAATTGAAAATTGGTACATCCTTTAACCAGTAAGGCAGTCCTCAGCCCGAGTCTTTTGGGCCTAATTTAGTCCCAGCAACAGTATCCCAGAGCAATATGCAAATAACTTCAGCTGCATTTGTAATAAGTAAGTGAAAGAAAGAAATTGAGAGGAAATGTTTAAACTTATTGGAGTTAAAAAATCTAATTAATGTATCTCTGAATTCAAACATCATTGAGTGAATCAGGTGATATGTTAGTCATTTTGAATGACTGCTCTTACCATGACTGCAGAATCCAGAGATGGCTATAAGATTTCACGCAGTTCCTGTTGTTTGGAAATAGCCTCCTTTGGAAAGGCTTTATCTGTCTGTATGCAGTCCTTACTGAAATATAAACTGGACACATCTACATGAGACATTTACTGAGCAGTTGACTAATTAGTTGTGCAGTAAATGCCTCAGCATCTACATGTGCAACCCTCTTAGGTTGGAGTAAATTAATTTCCATGCACTATCCTCCTGCAAAGTAAAAAACAGATGCATAGATGCTGCTCCAGCCGGTTGGGGCACAAGGGTGCTTCAGTGTAGGAGCTAGTCTATGATGAAGCACCCTTCTACCCCAGCCAGACCCTCTGCAACACATTGAGTGGAGAGGAGGAGCCCCAGGCTGGCAGGCTGACCCTCCAGGATCCCTGCCAGCTGGTTCTACTCTGAACCAGCTCAATGTGCTGTACCTGAAGAAACTCCAGAACTTATTGTTATGTAGCAAAACCCCCAGTTTTTCTTTTTTTTAATTTAAAAATATACTCCCTCCCCTTCCCCTAACCATTTCTGACTTTCTCTCTTCCCTCTCTATCCCTTATAAGTAATTACAAGTAGGTAAGCTAAGATAATATACTTATACTCCCACATAGTAATAAGCCCCTTTCTACATTATAAACAGTGTTCTATTAGGTCTGTATTGATTTTTACTGTTTTATATTGTATTATATTAGGTTTCTATTATTTTTATATTAATTTTTACTGTTTTATATTGAATGTATATGATTTAGGCCTATGTCTGTAATGTCAAGTAACGTCAAGTTTCCATTTTTTATGTCAAGCTTCCATCTTGTGCCCCCTGCCCTATACAGTATGTTGCAACTGTGACTCTTACCTACCTCTCCTATGTAAGTTGGTTCCTGAATGAATGGGGATGAATAAGGGTGCTTGAGAGACAATGGCAGTACGTCTAAAAATAGATCCCTCTATATGACCGAACCATCAACTTGACGACCCAACCATCATGTTGCATTGACCCTCCCTGGCTCAAGATTTGGAAGACAAATACTGCTGCAGAAGCCAGCCAACTCACCATTACAGACACCTGAAACTGCACGTCCTTGCCTGGAGTGCACATGCTCATAACACCAGGGGCTGACCCTTGCCTGGGCATGCCCCTGCCACTAGGGTCATAGAAGGTCTACCCCCATAAAAGGGGGTAGTGAAGATAGACACAGTGGGATGCCCATTTCGTCTGGACCAGCACCACGCCACACCACCTATCCACCCACAGGCCCTGCTGGCGACCCCCCTCTGGACAACACCTTGCTGAAGAAGACTCTGATTGGCCATCAAAGATCAACTCACAGCCCAGGACAGGTAGCTATCACCCACCTTCCTTCTCCAAGCAAAGGATCTGGACTCTGTCCCTACACACCCTGACTTAAATCCCTACACCAAGCCTTTTTCTCTTCTTCTATCATCATGTGGGTGTATATGAGAGTGATTGTGTGCGTGTATGAGTAGGAACCAATAACTTCATGGGGCTGTGTAGTTGGATTTCTGTCTTACTGACTTCCCAACCCTCCTCCTCAATCTCCCAACTTTCTGCCTCAGTTTCCAGCCCCAATCTCCCAGCCTTCTGCCTCTCTCTTTCCTGGCTGTCTCCTCCTTGCCACCGGGCTTTTTCCCTTGCTTCCATCCCAGCACCCATGACCTCTAGTAACCCTGGGGCCACTTGACTTTAAGTAAACCCAAGCCTCACTTCCTCAGCCCAGCTTCTCTCTAGTACCAGCTCTAATCCCAATCCCAGCAACTTTCACTCCCTACTTTCACACTCTCACTTTAACCTTCCCCTCCAGGTATTCCAAGCACCCCAAGCACACACACACACCGTACCATCCAAGTTAGGAACTCATCTGTGTGTATGTGTAGGTGGGTGGTATGTGTGTGAACTGGTGAATATACATATATGTCATCGTGTGTGTGATAGACAAATTAGTGATACATGTATGTGTACTGAGTGTGTTGGTTTTGACAACTGATTGTTGTGTAATTTTTGGTGTGTATGAGCTTGAATTGGTAATAGGTGTGTATGTGCCTAGGCAGGTAATTTTGAATGTGTGTGTGTGTGTGTGCGCCTGAGTTGGTGGGGGGGGGTGCACCTGGTGTATGCGTGTATGCACCTAATTGATTTTTGAGTGTCTATATGTGCAATTGTGTCTCACACTCTCCTGTTTAACAGCACAATTTTGAGATCCTGAGAGTTAGCCTGACCCAACAGGGCAACAGTTACAAAGTTTATTGCTTCTATGTATGTGTTCAAATGGTGCATCTGGAAGCAAGGAGCTCCAGAGTTTATTCATGTTCAGCATGTCTAGATGCACCCACTGATACTCTAATATTACATTCCATCCTCATGTGTGTAAAAATAATGACATAACTACATTTCCTTAACATAGCTCTCCATTTTTACTCTGGTGGATAGCCCATTGCTTTGGACTTTCTGAACTAGACCAGACCAGAAAAAAAACAAATCATTCTGTAGATATAATCTTGTTTGAATAAAGGATGGACTATTTAGTGTAAAATTTATTTGTCATATCCATATAACCTTTTTCATTTGAAGAATATTATCAATTTGCAGTAATGCTTGTCTTAAAATGTAGAGATAGGAAATCATACTTGCACAGATTAGCTTCCTCAGAATAGAGAAGTTACATGAATACATCCGATAAAAAAAGCTTCACCCCGTTGATGGGCTGAAACTTTGTTGTGCTGCAATGACTTATAGTTTAATTTTTACTTATGTTGTGTGTAGTACTTTTGGGGTATTAATCTACTTATATACTAAATCAACAAAGTTGGCCATTTGAAAATGTATATATTTATCTTTATTTTGATTAGAAACTGATCTTTATAATTGTTACAGGATGGGGTCCCCAAGGATGTCTATGATACCCTAGGGCCCTTAACCATGCAAATTTGGCCCGATGGGCACCCTCTATTCTCGTCCGCCATGTCTTGATGTATTTATAATGAATAGGGAGGCTTCCTTCAAGTCCAGTTGGACATGGTCCTAATGTACTTCACTGAACCCCATGGGTTCCTGGACCCTTTGTGGGTCCTGTTTCAAAATGGATGTCTCGGGACACCCCAGCCTTATGGGCTATATGCATGGCTCCAAACTGCCCCTTTACCATGCCCCAAGCCTCACAGATGGTATTCCCACAGTGTCTCTCTGAGGTCTTGGTTTCATTTGGTCTCGAGTTGTCACTGGGCTCTTCACAGCCCTGTCTCACTGTGCACCCACACTGGTGCTGGAGACTGTGCACCCCCAAACACTGTGCCTTCTCTGGCACCAGGGCCTGTGCATCCTGAACACTGCATCCTCTCTGGTGCTGGGGCCTATGCACCCCAAACACTGTGCCCACACTGGTGCTGGGGTCCCCACGCTGAAGTGGGCCCCCAATGAGGCCTCCTCCTTCCCCAAAAGCCTCACCCAAACCACCGGTGTTATAAACAAAAATAAAAAATGCAAGCCCCTAGGCTACACCATAACACAAGCTGCACAGGGTGTGCTCTGTCCCTTAACATTACCAGGAAAAGAACTTACAGACAGGCCTCTTCCCTTTGCTTCCTCTAGGAGGGCTCCTTCCTCCTTGGCCACTGGAAGAGAACTGCCTTCCTGGCCTCAGCCCTGGGGTTTATATATGTGCCAGGCCCTGCCCTTTCTGATCAGCTGACCACTGGCAGATGTGGGCCAACTATCTCATTCTGGCTGCCCTGGTAATCAGCATCTGGGGCTCCCAAGTGACTGCTAGGACTCTCTCCCAAGCAGTTTCAGCCTGTAAAGGAGCAGGACACCTTAGTGCCCTGCGACAATAATTAAGATAACCTTTTGGACTATAAGCATATTTAACTGTGATTTCTTTTGTATATATTGATACAGTAATATGGATATAGCTAGTGTTTCAGCTTGTCTAGCAATTTTAAACCTGTTGCTAATATTAGTGAGTTTGCCTACAGTGAGTTGGATTCTTAATATAAATTAGGTAAGCCAAATTATTAGGAAATAAAGGTAAAACAAGGTGATTGCATTTTAAGCTGCTTCTGCAGCTTGAATTCAACTTGAAGTCAAGCAGTTAACCTAAACTGAAATCCACGTTACCTTGTCTCAAGACTATTTTAACTCAAGCTGCCCAACTCTGGTTTGTCAACACAAGTTAAGTTTCACCTTTTCTGCAGTTGGATGTACTCTATATGGCAAAATAAAATAAACATGAAAGGGTTAACAACTGTTTATAACATGATACACACAGTGAGTGAAAAAAGGGGTGTCTCCTCAATGGGCTGAGAGAGGCAAGCAAGGCCTTTGAGGGCTTGCAGTGTTTTGATCACAGAATCTCTTTGCTTTTGTTCCATTGGGGGTTTTTGTGTTTGAAGAATGCCTTGTGCTTTGAGACAAGGGTGTGAAACAGTTTTTGGAATGGCACTGATTCTTTCCTGGTCTGGTAAAACAGCTCACCATTTTGTAAGCTGGTTCATGGCTCATTAAATAATCTGGTCAATTGATGGAAGAAAGAATGGTGCCATCACTTTCTCATGGCCTAATTTCTGTGCCTTCCTATGGACCATACAGAACTGTGAAAGGGCTTGTTTTTGAAAGGATATTCTAGAGTTCGCAGCTTTTTGGCTGTGCAGCCTATAAAATGCTAATTGCATTTCTAAGAAAGTTTTTTTTTCCTGAGGTACCATTTCCAAATGTATTCCTGTTTCCCCTTTTCAAGTTCAAAATTGTCAGCTAATTCATGCAGACCCTTTGAAAATATTTTTGTTGCATTCCTCAGGCTTATGGTTCCTCTGGTATAAACATGTATTTTCATGATCCACATTCTCTTTAGTGGTAAAATATTCACCACTCTTCTCCATTACTTTTTAACTAGCATTGTTTTCTTCACTTTTAGATTATCAGTTAAATATTTGTTCAGCTTCCCAAAGGATTGGGTGCATACCTGAGTTTTCCTACTCCCTTATTTATCTTTATAAAGATTCCATAGAGAACAAATCACAGATTATAGTGAATTTAAATCCCTGGATGATTTATATCAGTGGTCAAATTTTTGTAGTCAAATATTCCTTTTATACACTCTTAACTTTTCCTATTGGTGCTGATCATTATTATATAGTGTTTACTTCTGACAATGTATTGAATAAAAGCTGCAGATCAAGTTCTCTGCTTCATTTAACTAGTAATGAACTGCTTACAAAGGAATGCCAGTTTCCATTGCTTCCCCATGGGATTCTGTGCATTCACTGAAACTCTTCCCATTTCATCTCACATAGGAACTTTGTTTTCCCTATATTCTTTCACAGCTTTGTAAATCCATAGGGTTTTCTAGAAGAGACTTTTAGATCATCTAATCTGATTACTTGCGCAACACAGGCCAGGACATATTTTTTGTAGTATTATCTTTTATCATTACATCTATAAATAGCCATGTGTTATTGCCATTTTTTCAGCTTTATTACAAAACATTTCTGTAGAAACATGGAGATCTAGAATGCCTTAGCCTCTACCCCCAATTTAGAGATAGAAGGAATAAATGAATAAATAAGGAAGATCTCATTTCAGTATCGCTAAAAAATAAATCAGATATGACACAAAATTTCTCATTAAAATATTACTTTGTAGATGAGTAAAAATAACAATTTACACATATGAAAACTTTCCAAACTGATCTTCACACTGGGTTTATTTTTAAAAAAATCAGAATTTTTTTTTTATTGGTTAAGTCATTAGTTTTGTTTTTATGTACATGAGTTATGATTTTCCAGCAGTGGATCCAGCCTTGATTTAATATAAGCTATGCATTGAAAATACATTCACTACTAGTAACTACTGTTGTCAGTGAATGTATTTTCAATGCATAGCTTATATTATACACACTGTACACACCAAGCCACCCAGTTATTTTTTTTAATTTTGAAATGCATTCCCTCTCTTCCTCAACTATTTCTAACTTTTTCTCTCCCTCTCTATTTCCTATAGATAAGCATGAGTAA